CCTTTAAGATTGGCCAAAGACTGTCCTTCGATCTGGCCAACCCTGCTTTCAGAAATGTGTGTCTTATATTAAAAAAGAAATACAAGAAGATATATATTTCTTAATAAATACGCAGACTGTTTTTTTTTTCGGCACAATTTTCGTTATTTTTTTTTTTTTTAATTCGATATTATTTCGAAGTTCACCGAAGCATGGGATTGTGTCCGTCCATTTGTAGCGGCTCGGTAGCTGAATTTAGCGGGGATCTTTTTTTTTCCCCGCTATGTCCTGCGGTTAGCGTTTTCTGCAAACTTTAGCGGCGAAACCTGTATTGGCGTATTATCCACGCTGTGTCACGTCACGTGACACCGCGTCACATGACGTGACGTGACGCTGGGATCTCACTTGAGGCTGTCTTGGTCATGGGGCGCCATGTGACGTCACATTCGTCTTGTGACGCAGTGTTGCACGACGAAGCCCGGCAGACAAAGGTGGCAGTACGCGAAAGGCGAATCATAAAATAGTCTATGGAAGATTAGACGAACTTGGCATGTTCCTGTTCATTCCATTTTCATCCCGCCGCCATTGTCTTCCCGAAATTCGAATGTCGTAACGCCATTAGGTGCCGTAGATACTGCCGAAAAATTATAAGACGAGAAGGAAAAAAACAAAAAAGGAGCACTTTGTTATCCTTTCACTCGAGAACGAGCGAAACCTCGGTTTGGCAGAAGTGCCCCCCGCGGTTCCCTAAACACAAAGCTCGTTTCTCCTCCGTCTTTTCCGCTAGATCTAAGAGGCGTGCACCTGCGCGCCTCCAACTTCCACTTCAACTCGCGTCATTAAACTTTGCCCGAACTCCAGACTCCTTGTGCGACGAAAGGGAACAGCGTCTCCCCTCGAGTGCCCCTCCAAAGTTTTCGGGGGCCCCCTAAGTGCCTGTCCCCGCCCTTTATTGTAACGCTCGAGATTTTTTCAGCTCCTTGCCCTTTCCCCCTTTTCGGGCCTGCAGTGCGCGTCTTCCCAAATTTTATACGCCGGGCGCCGGTTAATGTAGCAACAGCGACAGTCGCGGCTCATACCCTCACATTAGACGGTGTGCCTGTATCTGAAGTTGGAATGAAGCGCTCGCGTTCATTCCCGTTTCCCGCTTTCAAGCTAACAACATTGTTGTCTTACGACCTTGTGTGCCGTACACTCCAGTCTAAGTATAGCAAGTACGAGATTTACTGCTCGTAGGGTCAGTTTAGTTGGGAACCTAGTAAGCCGTTTGTTTTCTTCCTTTTTTTTTAAACGATACGTAGTAGGTGCTTTAGCGGCGGATATAATATGCCTTAATAAAGCTGAATACCGACCGCACTTCTCCCACTAGGACTAAACCCCATCATCTGCAATACACTGCAAAAAACAAATGAATGGGCCTTGGCTTTTTTTATTAGAAAACACGCAGATGGTCGAGAAAAGCCGTCACTAAAGATGGGAGAAAAAGAAAGACGCGAAATATGTAGGCGTTTAGCGCCATGCCACGGCAGCGCGGCAACACTCGGAATTACATTTCTGCTTCACATTGCGCGACGGCATAAATGTGTTTCATTAGGTAACCGCTGCCGCGGCATGGCGCCGAGTACCAGCCGGGATCTCTAAGGGATCTCGTCTGCCGTCCGCTAGCTCTTTGACGATACCTCGCGCAATCTCGGCGGTGGCGTGCCAGGCTTTCGACGCACAAACTAGGCTCTAAATTGACCCGCTTATCGTTCCGTCTACTTAATATTTATAGATGTCACCGACAACTTGGGAAGCGCGGAGGCGTGGCGCGGGTCCCGTATTGTCCCTCCGTGGCCAATCAGATTGCGGCATTACACGGTAAGAGCGCCCAATAACCAATCAGGAAGCAAGAACCGCGAACATTATAAGCCATGTCATGCGCTTCTCTAGCTGTGAGTTAATAATAATCTACTTTCTTTTCCAACCAACCCAATGGTGGACGAGACAAGGGGGAAAAAAAAAGCTGATTACAGACAACTGGACTAATACCAGCCCCCCCCCCCCCCCCCCCCCCCCCCCCCCCGCCGCCCCTCTTCCTACCAGAATGCAGCAGTGTTGCACGTCTTCAGACTACAGATTTTTTTACATATAAAGGTGCACTGAGGAGGTTTTTGAGATGACCTAAATATGACGACAACTCACTCTGCGGGCCTTTAAGCGTCCTAGAAATTCACAAATCATAACGATGCGCAGCCAACTTCCGTATCAAAAAAAACAAAACAAAAAACATAGATAGCAACACACCGAGGCCATCTCGGGCGATTGGAGGAGCATTGTTCCGGCGGCCATTTCGTTGAGATTGACAACGCTGTTATTACAAGATCTTTATGCCTTTGTAGATGATAAAAGCAAAAAAGAGCGGTCGAAAAATGTCTTTCTCGAGGAAAGGGAACATAATACTAGAATAATCGTCTCAAAACCAACATTTCTTTTTTCTCTTTGTCTCTTGCCGGAGTGACGTGTCCGGTTGTCAGCTCTCGAGCGCGCACTCGCTGGATTGAACCGTAGTCCGGGCTGTATGGGCAACGAGCCACTCCCAGTCGAGATATCCCTCCGCGGTTCCACCGGTCAGAAGCGCGAGGATCCTTCGCTTCCTATTGGCTTACAGTGGTCCTGGTTTCGGAACAATAGGCTCCTTCCATCGCCGGAAATTACCTCGGTCTGTTGTCATCTTTGATTGCTTGGTTTAATAGGGAACTTCGTCGCGTGTCGGGAGGTGTACACACCCCTTGTTTTTTTGACGGCTTCATTTGCAACGACTCCTCTATTCTCAATGCACCGCCCCCCCCCCTAAAAATGTAGATTCCCCTAATTTCAGGTCCTAGGGAAACCTCTCGTTCAGAGCCAGCAGAGTGAGTTATCGCTATATTCAGGCGATCTCAGAAACCTTTGCAGGGCACCTTTTGCGGTAACCAATAAAAACCGTCGGAGCCCCCTTTTGCTTTCGTCATATTTAACCTTCATCCCGTCAAATATGTCGTGTTTATGTCGTGTTTAACACGGTAAACACGACGCAGTAGTTGTTCTCACTTTGGCTTTTCGAAATTTCTGAAAGTTCTTTTTTATTTGCGCTGTCCAGACGTTCAATCTTCGCCGCTATACCGTGCCCATGTATTCCCTTTCTCTCTCTCTCTTTCTCAACTTCGGAAGAGTAGTCCGTTTTCCGCCTTTCCCAAATTCGCCTCACATGGCCAGACGCTCGCGAGGTGGGGCTTTAATTTAAAACTCGTCTCAGCTTCGCTCCAGAGAACTAGCGAGGGAAAGGGGGCACGTTGGAAGTAATTGAGAGCCCCTGATTCGCGCTGAAGACTGGAACTCCCCTCTCCCTCCTCTCCCCTTTCTCGTCATTCGCCTCTCTCTCCGCGTTTTTCACGGCTGCGCGATAATTAAGAGCGTGAAACAAGGCCGATTGCTCCCGCCGGTTGCGTCCCGCACATTCCGGTTATAGAGCACGGTTCGCCCACTGGCGACAGCGCGACCGAACGCGTCGCTGTAGCCGGCATTCCACGGCTGGCCAAACGCTCACCGTCCTTAGTGGGATGATTAATTCCGCCTTAGTTCACGGAGATGACAGTAAGGTCAGACTGTCAACTGGAAAGGAGTTTTGAGATCGACGCCTCGCTGCAGCTGTGCATGGGCGACGCCATAACCTACCTTCCGTTTTTGTGTCCTCTTATTCCTTTCGATCCACGCCATCCTTACCACAGCGGGACAGGTTATTGCCAATTTTGGATACTACTGTGTCCGCCTCCCCAGCATATAGGCCCTTGTGGAGACTCGTCAATGCCCGCTTCAATTGCTCTAAACACCTTGGTGAGACAAAAAAAATAAATAAATAAGGCAGCAATGGTTGTTGTGATATGGCGCGTGTGTAAAGAGCCCTTCATAAAACCCGCCCTTATAAAGTAACTGCGCTGAAAACGGCGGGCAAAAACTGCAGTTCTCGGCAATCTCTCCGAAGTAAACATTGTTACGGATCCAGAACCAAGCACAAATTAATTACTAAGCTAGAATGCGAAAAAAAAAAAAAAAAATGAAGGTGGTTTTATGAGAGGAGAAAAAAAAAACGTTTTAAAGGTGCGTAAGGAATGTAGCGTTAAAAGCGCGGCAACACACGTGCGAAAAAAAAGAAAAGAATGCGGAAAAGGCGCGAATTTTAGAAACGTGGAAAAATAGTTGCGCGACCGTTGTAGTCAGCAAAGAGCCCGAGAAACTCGGGGGCGTGACGAGTTCTCAGTTTCCTATTGTCGCGCCTCCACCAATCAGGTGGCGGCACGTTATAATAAGAGCGCTGAACAAGCCAAAAACTACGCCCTTCGTTTTCCAAATTGTCGCCGACTTTAGTCTAACAAAACGATCTGTGGTCTAGTCGTGATCACGTAAAAATCTTAAATAAGCTTTTAACAAAACCATATATTATTATTTATTTTTTATGTTAGTTTAGAATATACCTTGGCTTCGAAAATAGCATGAAAATTTTTTCGCATGTCCTAAATTTTGTGCCAATTTTTGTTTTTTGGTTGTTTGCACATGTTTTTTGTCTTTGACCATCCGAATGTAATTAATAATTACTTTATAAATTATAAGTTCCGAGAAAGCAGTTTGTACTCGTATTCACCTAAAAAAAAACGTAAAAAAAGTCCGGTGTTTTGGCGAACGTTATTAATTTCCCCCCATCATGTGAGGAAGTAGGATATACTTAAATGCATCCTATATTAGCTTTATGTACTTCTGTCAAAACGTAAACGTTTCAAACGCCCAAAGGCGTCCTTTCTTTTTCCACAACCAAATCTTGTAAGATCTCATTTGCGCTGTTCATAAACAATGCTCATTATTATTATTTTTTGTATGTGGCAACGAGTAGTGTTTTTGCTTTCGCCCCGGTCCTAATGCACTTTTTAATATTTATTTTCTTGCTTAGTTTTTTTTTTTTTTTTAGTGAGTTTAACCGGGACCGTTTTGTCATCCGTTTGGTGCAGGCAGTAGCGAAGCCCTCTAGCGACGCCGGGGGTTCCACGGAGAAGGACCGCGACTGGCACAACTATCCGCAGATGCAGAAGGAGGCCTCGGCCAAGGGTCCCGGGGAGCAGGGCTTAGCCTTCTTCCTGCCCGCGGGTCTGGAGCAGAAGAAGGAGCAGCTGTACAAGGTGAACGGCTTCAACGCCCTCGCCAGCGACTTCATCTCCCTCAACCGATCGCTGCCCGACATCCGCCACCCCGGGTGAGTCCTCCTCCTTCGCCTCATGTGCCTCCTTCTTGCTGAACCGGTGTTGGCGGTAACGCCTAACTGTTTTCGGTAACGTACTCGTTATGTTTTTTTTTTGTTTTTTTTTCGAGTAACGATGAACGCAGTTATGTAACGCCTTACATTCGGCACGAGTGCTGCGTCGCAGTTTGGCTAGGAGTCGGGTTCCCAGCGGTCGGAAGCACGAACAAATATGTTATGCTCTTGTTGACCTCGCGAGTTGGGTTCCCAACTTAGCCGCTGGGAGCGCGACGGTTGTATCTCCTTGCAGAAGGTTGGTCATTTCGTTAGACTTACGCCCGGCTGGAAGCATATAGTTCGTGCGTCTTCAGGGTCCATGTCTGTCCGGTGGAAACCGGAGTGCCTGTCGGCGACTGTTATCTAAAGTTCAAAAATATTTCTACAGACTTAGTTGTTAATCTTCGAGGGAATGTGGAAGGCATCTGAGGAACGCTGTAGGTGACCAAGGCCGCAAGGATCACGGAAAAAGTCATCCGTTTATTGTTCTCCAGGGAACTGTTGCCTTTTGCCGGGGTCGTCGATCCACAACCGAATAGAGTCTCTACCAACCAACTCGACTCCAAAGGTGAAAGTGTCCTGTTCAGTTTCAGTTTTCCAGAAGCATCTTCAGAAGGCAATCTCTCGCAAAGGATCACGAAGAACATCACTTTGTGTTGAGCAGGAGTACAGACCCCAATGTCTTCGAAGCTTCTTGCTTCGGAGCCACAAATCTCGTTTCTTTTTCTCTTTTAGGCATGTGGACGTTTTCCAAGTTATCGGGTCACGCGTAAGTTCCCTGCAACTCGGAGAACCCTATGCCCGTGTCGTTCAACAGAAGTAAAACTGGCCACTGTTGCTTGTTGGGCTACGGTAGCGCATTGTGTTCTTCTGTTCTCCCCTTTCGTCCGTGTGTAAAAGCGGCACCATGTTCTCGAAGCTTCAACAGAAATCCCGATAGACCCCGATTTATCGTGTTTGGTGAAACTAAACTGTTTAGCTCATACCCTCCGATTTTTCGTCCTCAACCAGAAATTGATACCGATAAACACCGCATCTGTGGGATGTCTAGAAGCGTCTCCGCCCATTTCCCCCCTTCCTCCCTCACTAAACAACGACGCCAGGCAGGCGCACTTATAACACATCAACGCGGAAGGCATCCGCCATTACATCGCCAACACTCTCCATGCTGCGAGTAGCTCCCTCTCTGAAACCTAGGCTCTCAAACTCGCACTGCCGAGCAGGCTTCCACACGACCCATCCTCCTTGACGCCGGAAGCGGATGTGAAGAAGGCTCAAAGTGCAGCCGCGTCCCCTGGGAACCTGGCTATCGATCGGCCAGCTTCGTAAGGACGCCTCCCCCCCTTTTTGCATGCCGAGATGAATGCATCTATACTTTATGTCTCCCCCCCCCTTTCCCCTCTGGTAGGCCAACTTGGCTTGGCACGGATGAAACTTGCAGAAGAGCCGCGCCCCCAGGCGCCGAAGGGGGCCGGGGGGCAGAGGAATGACTCGAGACGTCGATTTCTCGGCTCTCCGGTGTTCCGACGGCCGCCCCGCATTGAGAAAGTATGGTGCTTTGCACGCTTTTTTGCCTTTTCGGAGAAGGGCTACAGTAACGTTGCCCGCTAGCAACGTTACTGTAGCCCAGTTGCGTGGTCAGCGCGCTCGTCGTCCTAGTGGGTTTGTCGTCGTCGGCCTCACCGATCACGCACGGGAAAAGAAAAATGTGCAGGATCAGGGCGCATTTACCGTGCGTGATTAGGTTTCATCGGTGATTACAAACGTCTAAAGGAGACGAGCGCCGTGACTGTGCACTTTGGGTGACGCTCGATTTCGCGCCGTGGGTCAGTGCATGGCGTCCGCCGTGGACGGGCCCTTAAAGGGAAGCGGAGTGCGTAGAACGACTCGGTTGAGAAACTCGCCGTTAAAACAAGCACCCCGCGGCGTCCACCGTAGAGCTTATTTGGCCACCGTGAGCCAGATCGATTACTGCTTTGCCACCCCTTGGGCGGTCATTAAAAAATTCAAACCGCGCAAAAATTGACTTTTTTTTAGTTAGTTGCGCGAGGTTTTTTGGTTAGCTGGAGGTATATATGATCTGATTCGAGACGAGGACTCGTCGAGAGTTCGCTTTGTCGGCACGAGGAAGATTCATTTGTTTGTATCCTCCCGATTTTCTGGCATATATATATATATATATAGTTTCCGGAGTGGGCGGTGCGGGAGAAACGGCGGCGCTACGATAGCGTTTATATTATACTCGGCGCATGATTGGAGCACGTTCCTTCAAGCAGGCGCCTGCGATAGTTTCCGAACCGAGATGTTCTAGCAACGTTGCCTCCTAGCGCGGCGAGCACCTCGGTCTTACAGCACTGTGATTACGTCACTCGTACGCTGCAGTTATTTGTTTTTGTGATCTCTTATGACGAGAGAAGACAGTGGCGTCATCCGTTTCGTAGCCATGGAACACCCGTGACTTCCGTATACTTCCTACGTTTTACGCGCATCGTTCTTCCGCCATTAACTCGAAAATCTCTCGACAGCGTTATAAGCGACAGCTTCTCACAGATGGTACGTACATTTGATTTCACAAATACCGCGAAACCTTCGTTCTAGCGAAGTGCAGTTCAAGGGCAACCTCATAGATGGCGCCAGCGGGCCAGTGTCTTCTCTCGTCGTAAGAGATCACAAGAACTCGGTTGTATGATAACGCAAGAGTGCGAACCAACCTTCGAGGCTCGTTCACACATTGGCGTTCGAGTGGGATTGCAAACACTAACTCCTCGTTAAGACTGCCTGCTTCGAGCTGTTGCTATGGCGACACTTACGAGGAGCCAATATGGGAGCGCTGTGCAGCACGACGCAACGCAGCGGAACGCAGTCGACGTAACCGTGTAAACGAGCCTTCGGGCTGAGGGGTGTTGCTCGCAGAGCTACACGAACTGTGCGTTTCGGATCGCCTATACGAAGCACTTTCGAAAGCTGAAAACCTTGGGATTTTGGTTTCGAGATTCTTCGTCTGCCGGCTCTAGGGACGAACGCGTACACGTCAGCATCTGGGACGCTACCGAGCGTTTCGAAGTGACCGGAAGCCGCCGAAAACGTCACATCAGGCAGCCGTTTCTTGCCGCGTGCTTGAAGCGGGCAACGTTTGGGTATCGGTTTGGGCAACCTGGCGCTTTGGTTGGGTTCGTAGTGAGGACGCCTGCTTTCGGCCATCCACACAATCTCCCGCGATCCGTGCGTGGCGACAGGAGGGACCGTGGCTTAGACGGTGACAGGTTAAAGGCCGACCTACGGAATCGTCTTCCTCCGGAAAGGAAACCGGTTCCCAGTTGTCCTCTTACCATTCTCTCTCGCACTAATCTATAGCTCGTACTCCCGACAAACGCGCAATGCAGGCAAACGCGAATCTTGCCGCTCTTGGTCGGGCTTCTAAGCGCAAACTCTGCCGAGAGCAAGTTCCATAGTTCTTCATATTCGACGGGTGTACGCGGGGGCACAAGAACAAAACGCGCAACCGGAATAGCCAGAGGATAAAAAAGCACTTCGATCTTTCGTACACCCTCTTCTTCGGGAAGTAGCTTCCTCGGTTGAAACGAGAAAAATAAATAAATAAAATAGGAAGGTTCGAATTGCTTCAGGGAAGAGATCGACCACGACTTAAAGCTCTTCGCAAGACACGCCCCCCCCCCCCCCCCCCCCCCCCCCCCCCTCTTTCTGTTTAGTTTAGTTTTGTTTTGTTTCGAGGAACGACTTTCCCGTTCCTTCGGGATGAAGTTCCTGCAGCGGTGGGAAGTGAAAGGAAAGAATTGAGATCGATACCTCTCTTGTGTTTGTTTTATTTGAAAGAAGCTCGAAGTATTATTTAGTCGTCCAAAAGTGGTTCCCTTCTCCCCGAAACGTTTTGCAAGGTTCCTCGTGTTGTGCGTTATAAGCGCACTCGCCGTTATCTTTTTGTTCTAAAAAAAATAAATAATAATAACAAGAAAATAACGCAGAAAGAAAGAAAAAAAAATGTTTAGACAGCTCAAGTGTACTTTAATCGCACTTTCGTACTTTTTTTTTTTCGATATTAACATTAAGATAGGTGTTTTATTTTATTTTTCTTCGTCTCTAGAGAGAATAACCCTGCCCGTAACGACTTCATCTACCACATCGAAACGCGCGTGCTCTGCGTTTTATTTCATTCTAGAAAAGGAAAAAAAAAAAAAAAAGAAGCGACCTGGCTTCCAATGTAGCCGTTTTATAGCCAGCGCTATCTCTACTCCTAACCTTCGGAAGGAAATCTATGAAAGTTGAAATTGTCTTGTTTGTATTCTCTTGCCCCGTCTCCCTTCTTTCACCATCGTCCCCGTTTTACGTCGTGGTCTATCTCTCTATCAATTTCTTTTCTTTTTTTTTTTTTTTTTTGTTCGTTAGACGGCCGATCTTGGCAACAATGATCCAACTTGCAAGAATTTTTCGTTCGTGCGCGTAATCATCGGCAGCACAACGCGGTTTAATGTTGAGCGCACCGGAACTTCATCCTGTATGAAGTCGAGGCGCCTTATCTTTTTTGCGCAAGGTCGGGGCTGCACTCTTTCGAGCGATATACTTTTGTGGAAAATGTTTCGCCACAAGTTTTCTATTTTTTTTTTGTACGTTCACATTTGATGAGCATGGACTTCGTCATGTACAAAGCTCCTGCTACTGCTGCTACTGCTGTTATTTTTATTCTCGAGTCTCGTTGCGCTGTTAAAACTTATCTGCACGCGCAGTCTTCCCAATATATCATTATTTCTTCTTTTTTTTTTTGTCATTTTAGAGTTGGACAAATATTTTAGTGGTCTTTCGGAATGTATGCGTCGAAGGTTGTTAAGAAATGTAATAAAAATGCATCGTGAGCGCGACAAAAAAAGTGATACCGGAACCCAACTATGCTCGTTCCAACTTCTTTATACGTAAGCATCACCTTCTGAGCACCTTCCGTCTGC